ATGGGCTGTCTTCTCCTTTCCCTGAAAGACCTGGACTTTGTAGGCCGGACTCCCATCGACTGGTCACGTGGACGGTGCCACAGTGGGCTATGGAACGCGGAGGGGCAGCGGGGCCCAGGCCCGCATTTCCAGGGGGCTCATCTCGGCCGCCTCATCTCAGAGCAGAGGAGGCTGTGGCTGGCCTGGAGTCCCTGCACCCACGGCGGACCCCATTCAGAGCAGGCCAGGCTCCGTGGCGTGCTTTGGAAGGCGGGGGGTCGCAGGAGGAAGGGACGGAGGCATGGGTGAGTACATCCCAGACACTCACCATCACAAAGGAGTAGCCAATCCACAGCGACGTCCACCCGCTGGGGCACTGCGGGATCTGGATGGTCTGACTGTGCACGGCCATGACCATGGCGGGCGCCTCGCACACGGCACACCTGGAAGGGAGGGGAGGGGTGCTCAGCACGGTGGGGGCAGGGCCAGGCCTTGCCCCTTGGGCCATGGGCCAGCCCCTACACTCCATCTCCCCAAGGTCCTCCTGATTCCGCCACAGCTAAGTGGGAAATGGTGCTCGCTGCTTAGTCGCTGACACTCAGATCCTCCCTGTAAGTGTTATAAGCCTCGTTATGAACGTTTTTGTTCAAAAATAGAGCGGTGCCTGGCAGTCCCCGCCTGTAAGTTCCAGCGCTTTGGGAGGCTGAGGCAGGAAGCTTGCTTGAGGCCAGGAATTCAAGATCAACCTGGGCAACACAGTGAGGCCCTGTTGCTGCAAAAAAAAAATAGAAAATTTGCTGGGCCTGGTGGTAAATGCCTATAATCTCAACTACTTAGGAGGCTGAAGCGGGAAGATTGCTGGACCCCAGAGGTTCGAGACCAGACTGGGCAACATAGTGAGTCCCTGTCGCTACAACAAAAAACTTTTAATTAGCCAGGCATGATGACATACGCCGGTAGTCCCAGCTACTCAGGAGGCCGAGGTGGGAGGATCACTTGAGCCCAGAAGTCCGAGGCTACAGTGAGCTATGATCACGCCACTGCACTCCAACCTGGGAGAGAGAGCAAGATCCCATCTCTAAAAAGCTAAAATAACAAACAAAAATATATGTAACCCTTGTTATTTAGCCATCTGTTTTGCAGGAGAGGAAAAAAAGGAAGGCCAAGTTCTAAGAGGGACTATCCAGGAGAGACAGGTCACAGGCGACTTTGGTTTTCCCTCTTTTGTGCATTTGAGTGTTTTCCATTTTCTCAATAATGAGCATGCATTTTCACACACACACACAAACACACACACACACACACACACACACACACGATCGATGCTTAAGAAAAAAAAGCTGTTGAAATCCAGAACGTCAGCTTGTTTCAAGCTATGAATAATATTTAATGTAAGAAATACCCTTAGTGAATTAAGTAATGAAACATACAACATAGCTTTAAGGCACTTGAGCCTGAAGGTTCACATGAACCTCCTTCTAAAGCTTCCAGAAGAACGCCAACAGGCATTCTGGTCTGCCCCTGGGGCTTGGGCCTTGGAGGTTCAAGGGAGTCAGCTGAAGTGACCCCCTACCCAAAGACAGGACACCTCTCAAGCCAGGCTGGCTACGCTCAGCCACTGGGACAGCACCCAAGAATAAACCAGAACACAGAGCTCTAAGAACTGCTCGGTAAAGGGAAGCCCTCGATGGTGGGATAATGCTTTGGTTGTTTTTTTTTTTCAATTAAACACCCACAGTAAAATAATTACATTCAAGACTTAAAAGGAACCGTGTGTTAACAATGCAGATAAATGGCTCTAACCGGTGTTGCTAATTACACCTCGTTATGTCGGGACATTTGCATGAAAATGGGTCAGAAAGGGAAACAAGGCCTGAATGAGCCATGTGATTTCTCCATGAACTTGTGTGTGTGTGTGTGTGTGTGTGTGTGTGTGTGTCTGTGTAGTGTGTGCCATTTTCTATTTGATCCACACACATGCAGATGAGTTAAAAGGTTCAGCTAAACAAGTTGTTGGAATTGGCCTTATACATCTGCCCCCATCTGTCTGCCAGACAAAGGAGCCAGAATCACAGCCTGCGGGGAATTGCTTTATCTAGTTGAGGCTGTCTCTGGGCTGAGGAGTCCAAGTGGCAGTCGGCAGGGTGGTCCTACCCCTGTCAGAGGGGTGGTTTCCATAAAATTCATACGGTTTAATTCCCATATTGCCTTTGAAAAACAAAGGGCAGGGTTCGTAATGTCAAATGAGAATTAGAAGTCAGTTCTCCCTGCTCTCAGACCAGGGTCTTTCCCGTGAGACCAGTTAAACCATCAGCAGTGTCCTGATGACTCTTGTCTGCAGAGAGCTAGGGAGGGCTTAGAAAAAGTCCCACGATCAGCCGAGTTGCTACTTCTCTGCTCAGAATGAAGGATTTCGGGTTCTTCACTGTTTCTAAAATTAAACTTTTGGATTCCCCCAAGAGAAGACCTGAGAGGGGACCTGTAAGTTCTGAGAAGAGAATGGCAACCACTAAGTAAAGTAACCATGGAAACCTGCCCACTCAGAGGCCGGGAGGAAGTGGCAACGAGGGAAGCCGAGACAGACAAGACTGCTGGGTACCAGCTTCAAGACATGACCGGGAAGGCCCCCTCATGCTGAGTTTCTACGGGTCAGCTAACAGAAAGATGTAAAAACCCACAAATGCAAAGTCCTGGGGCCCTGGAGCAACTTAGACTCTTGTTTACGCTGACAGAACAGGGAGTTTCTGATGGTGATGGGTCCATAGTGAAACGTGTCTAAGACACACAGCCTCTCTGGGACCTGATTCTGGGATATCACCAACGCTTGCCCGAGCCCCTGTGTCAAGGTCAAATAATGTTGTCAAGAAGGTAAATAAGACTGGACGTGGTAGCTCATGCCTGTAATCCCAGTACTTTGGAAGGCCGAGGCCAGAGGAATGTCTGAGCCCAGGGGTTCAAGATCAGCCGGGGCAACATGGCGAGACCTCATCTCTACACTAGATCAAAAAAATTAGCCAGGCATGGTGGCACGCGCCTGTAGCTTTAGCTATTTGGAAGGCTGAGGTGGAAGGATTGCCTGAGACCAGCTGGTCAAGGCAGCAGTAGCCGTGATGGTGCCACTGCACTCCAGCCCAGGTGACAGAGTGAGATTCCGACTTAAAGAAAAGGAAGGTAAATAAAAAGACATATATATATTTACTCCCTGTTGAGCAAATGATAATTTTTAAAACCTACAAAAGTTGTTAGTTTTTCTTCTAGTGTATCAAGCATGGTTCTGAGAAAAAAAAAAAAAGGTCTCAGAGCAGAACAATCAATGACTGTCCCTCACTGGCACAGATAAAGCACCGTCTGCATTCTGAAAGTGCTACACAGAAAGATGAACAACTGATATTTTCCATTTTAAGACCCATAAAGTAAGTTTTGTAGAGCTCAACAAAATAAATCAAAGAAAACGGTCAGAGGATATTTTAATACGATCAAAAACATATGGTTTTTCCTATAAAGCAGGCATCTCCCAGTGTCCCAGCCTTTCTGTTTCAGGGCCCATGGCTCTTCTGCTAAATTTGTGATCTGCCAGGACCTGCCTGGAGTCTTTTCCCAACAGGACCCAATCATGAAGAAACAGAAGTTGAGTTCACGGCCCCAGCCTGCGGCACCCAGGCTTAGCTCTGTCTCCCTCTCGCGTTCCTAAAGACACCTTTTCCTGACTTGTTAATCTTTTATCCTTATTATATTAATGTGTACAAAGCAAAATGATAGAATAGCTTCTTAGTCTAATGAATTTACTCAATGGTGGCTTTTCTATTGCTAAGCAATCTCCTTCTAATATAAAGGACAGAGGTGAAAATAGGACCATTCTGTACCTTTCCATCATTGTCACTTCAGTTTTCCATCTTACATCCTATCAGGCAGACTCTCAGGACTCTGAAGGCCTACCCCAGACATGAGTGCAGACAGGCACTTCATTTGAGAAATCTTTCAGTTAAGCACATGCATTCTCAATGGGTAAAACATCAGTCACCCCAAGGGAGCAAAAACTCGTGGGGTTGGGAAGGTGTGAAAAAGGTTATTACTGCACAAATTTTTATGTATAAATAGGTATCACTTTTTAAGTATAAAACACAGACATACATGCAGAACATAGAAGAGATATACAGCATGTCTGTGGTATTATGATTTCATGG